TCGCGATGAGGCGCAAGTATGCAATGCGAATACCTTTAGGGCCACTCCATTCTGTCCCAAAGGACTGCTGACAAGTTGGATGTCCACCTCAAAGGGGAATGGATGTCACTTCTTCCGCCAGGAAATGGCCCTGTCAGCTGGAAAACTGACAACTCTTCCTAAAACCTGATGACGCAGGATCATTTCAAAGGATATTTTGGCAGTAAATTATTCATATTAGTAATTGCAATATATATATATATATATATATATATATATATATATATATATACGTATTTTTTTTACTTTCACCTACCCATAAATAAAATATATAGGAAAGGAAAGTAGTACGATCTTCAAAAATTGAATAGAAGTTTTCAACGGAAATACCAATTATAAGGTACCCTCAGTCCCTGGTTGCTGCTTATCGATATCGGTCTTTCATATCGACATTAGTGTAATATCGAATCAAATATATCTAAAGAGAAGTTGTTTCGGGTGTTTAGTCAGAAATAAATAAATTAAAAATAAATAAATGACATTAACTCTTATATTAGCGAAGTTTCAGCCAAAAGATCAGGTCTTCTTCAGGGCTGGACTCGTGAGAATTTCCCGTAAGACAGCCCCGTATATGCAGATTCATAATAGTTATTTAAGGTTATGAAAAATCACATAATGACTTTTTCAGCAAACCCATAATATATTTGTTTATCAACAATTTAATTTTGGTACAGATATATTTCTATATTGACGATATATAGGTAAATATATTTTTTAGTATTGGTATGATGGTTGACTGTAGTGAATAATTGGAGAGAAGTTGTTTGGAATATTCAGTAAGAAATAAATAAATTATATTTATTTTTCTTATCTTTAACTGAACACTCCAACAAACTTCAATTATTCACTACAGTCAACCATCATACCAATATTACAAATATATCATCTACCTATATATCGTCAATATGGAATTATATCTATACCAAAATTAAATTGTTGAGATATTTAACAAATATATTATGGGTTTGATGAAAAAGTCATCAAGTGACATTTGATAACCTTGAATCATTTAGGGCATTGATGAGTTTTCCATTTGTGAAATCGGATAATTGCACTAGATCTAATTATATTTGAGTTTGTATTTCAATGGTTTAAAAATTTATATTGTCGCAATATCCTTACTTAAGTCTATACATGGTATTCTAATCTCAGAAAATCGTGTGTGTGACCAGTTTTGATCAAAAAACGATAAGTCGTACAAAACTTGGGGTATTTAAAGTGTGCCATTGATGTTATTGCACCTTTTTCGTCAAAATTAGCAAACCGAAAATGTTACTTTATGCCCTACATTTTACAAATGTTAACAATATCTTCGAAAATAGCTTTTGCCATTTTTATTAAACTCGATATAGGAAAAAACTATGAATCTTAACTTCTGAAAATTATTATGATTAAAGGGAAACAAAATTTCTGTGGGACCTAAATGTAATTTCATATATTTTATTTTTAACCTTGATAAACCAAAAATTATGAAAAAAGAAAAAATCCATTTATTCATTTCAGGGAAGAAGTATTATTTTTATCTTCCCGATGTATCTTTCTTTTTTCCGGAAAATATCAGCAGTGACAGATGAAGGAAGATATTCCCTGGTGAGGACGAAATGTCAGAAATATAATTTGTCCCTCTAGAGAAGAAGGGCAGAATAACTGATATGACGGCTCGGAGCAAATAATTTAAAACAATATTAATATACGACTGTTTACTTAAATCAACTTGGACTTTTAGAACACAACTTTATAAATTTCTAAACGTTAGAATTATATATATATATATATATATATATATATATATATATATATATATATATATATATATATATATATATATATAATTATACCTGTAATAACTTGAATACAGGTATACTTGCTTATAAGTTAAATATATATATATATATATATATATATATATATATATATTTAACTTATAAGCAAGAATACCTGTATTCAAGTTGTTATTTTGATTAGTTTAGTTATTTTTTATTCATATACATTTACCTTTAATTTTATTATTTTGCCGTTTAATTTATTATTTATTTATTTATTTATTTGTATTTATTGTCCATACAGTATGGTTTATTACTATTACTAATGTTCTTCATTGTAACAAAATGTAATATTACTCAATAAAGAATTTATGGTGGAGTAAGATAAAAATAAAAAACTTGAAAGAAAGTTAAAATTATTCAAGTTATTTTTTTCCTACTCTAGTCCTTTATATAAGGAGACGCGTTATGACCATATAAACAATTATTTCAGGTTTAATAGATGTGGTTTACTATAATTTAATTGGTCATTTAATAAATAAATAAATAGTGTTTCATTTAAAAAATATATATATTTTATATTAATTGATAATTAGCTTGTATGGTTTTACACAGCTATATTCTGATAAAATATGTACTTTAAAGTAAATACAAATCTTTGACTTAGTTGTTTATTCTGTTTTATTGATTATCCTGTCCTCGAGGATATATTTACCTCCTAGGGCTATTTATCTAAAGGGTTAAAAAAAAGAAGGAAAAAAAAAGCAAGGGAGAATGATGGAGTAGGCATTTGAAGTTACGACCTCTTGGAGCAGGTGGGTGCTGTCTGACCGTCAGCTGGTCAGTCAGCTGTGTCCCAACCTATCATATGTCACTAATATATATATATGTATATATATCACTAATATATAATATATATATATATATATATATATATATATATATATATATATATATATATATATATATATATATATATATATATATTAGTGACATTAGATAGGTTGGGACACAGCTGACTGACCAGCTGACGGTCAGACAGCACCCACCTGCTCCAAGAGGTCCAAGATTATATATATATAATGTATCTCCATTATTTGTCATCTGTTTATTCAAACTTAGGGGAATAGTTTTTGGGAACAACCAGGTTCGAAGCTGGTTTCACATTCTGTTAATGTGATCAAACAGTATAGCTTAATGAAAGAACTTGGAATATGTATTCTTAAAAGATCTGACAAACGTGAGGCGTTATAGAGATATTTTAGTTGTTGCTTTTTAGGGCTTAGAGCCATAAAGGGGTCGTGAACGGCTGTGTACTCTTTTTTTGGGAAACAAAAGAATAAATAAATATATATATAAGAGACAACTAAAATTTAAATTTATCACCGACCTTTCATTTAAAATATCTGATAGTTTTGGTATGAGTTCCGATTTGGTCAAATTGATACATTATAGGGACACTCTTGAAAAATGTGGCTGACTGTGAGAGTACTATATCAGTGTTGGTATTTTGGTGTAGGCTGTTTGCTTATCAGGTAAGAATGTGTTAAGTTTGTATTTTTCTACGAAAAGGCAGTTCGAGGTGGTTTACTGATTTTTTAAAATTTACTTTAATTTGTTCGGAGGGCTCTCGTTCTACATGGATCGCCACCCAAGATCTATTTCTTGGAGATATTGTAGTTTCTCACTACCACATATAAATAAATTAGATTATCTGCTTCTATATTTATACTATAATATTGACTCGTCTCATATGAAATGTCAGTTTTCACAGGAAAGGTTATTTAGTAAAACAACTTTATGAAATCTATTTTTTTTTTTTTTTATATTTACCCTAGCGTGGTGTTATTAAACTTTTCGATTCCATATCTGAAATTTTAGGATTTTGTGAAGAAATGAAGTCAGTAAAATACGTAGCTGAGAATCACTTTTCAAAATTTTATTTTTAAGGAAGTTGTCCAAATTTCTAAACAAATGGAAATCTGTGGGAGATAAGTCTGGCGAATAAGGCGGGTGTAGAATGATTTTTAAACACAGCTCGTTTAGCTTCTTCACTGTCGTGAAACATGAATTCTGGCATTGTATAAGAGTTTAATATTTCTCTTCCGATTAACCAATGCAGGTTGTTTTTTTTTTTTTGTTTTTTTTTGAGAAATTTTGATGCAGTGTGTAAATATGACTGCAGTATATTATGGATGTGATGGTTTCACCCCTGAGTAAAAAGAGGAAATGAATTATTCCTGCCATTGACTATCTCATAGAAAACAATTATGTTTTTTGAATGCCAAGTTTTTTCAAACCACCGGCGTTATAAGTTATATGAAATATAAAATGAATAAAAAAATATATAAATTAAATTTGCTGCTTATAGCTGATTATTATTCGTCCGAACAATATTAATGTTGAGTTACTATTACAGTGACTACAAGATAAGTAATGCCAATCCTTTGAATAAGCAAAGTTTTCTAAGACCTTGAAGGCATATCTTTCAGTAATATTGCAATCCTTTCAATTAACTTTCTCATGGCATACTTTACGAAGATTCGAATTTAAAATTTATTTTTTTATAATTAATTAAATAAAAATTTTCTTCTTTTTCATATTTATTAAGCTGGTCAATATCTTAAAAATATTTATAAGCCAATTTGCTCTGTGAACTGCTAAAAACTATCTTTCTATAAAGTCAGATTTTCCATTATTATAATTATTATCATCGTCTTTTCCTGAAAGATATGAATATCATGAACTGATTTATTTAACAAATATTATCATATCAGAATCATTATCAACATCGTATTTTTGATTTTTTTAAATTTTACATTTGCATTTTTGTCTTTATACTGGTATCTCATCTCTAGTTTTAAATTTGTTTCGAAACGTTCACCGAGCGTGGAGGGCAATAAATTCAGAGAGAGGAGAACAAATGAACGGAAGGAGAGATAAAGCAGCCTACAGAGCGGAAACCGCAGGTCGTTCGTTAGCGTCAAAAACCGCTTAAGATTTTAGAGGACTAGCAAATATCGTTGTACTCACCTCAGCGCTATCACAATTATTTATGAGTTGCTGATTTTTTTTATGAAACATATAACAGTATGGTAAGGTAAATTGAAAGTAAATTACATGTCGAAGAATCGATCCATCGTTTGTTCACATGCAGCTTGGAGCTAGTAAGGCATTTATAACATATGATTTGTCAATCGAGAGGTTACCGCTGTATCATTACATGTTGCCTAAAAGTTCTATCTATCTTAGTTATCGGAGAAAAGTAGGTTATGTCGCTATAATTTTGACCTTATTATAATCCACATGAACGACTCCCTGACAAGACCCCTGCAGCTGCCGATCAAGATCCTGAAGGAGGACTGCTTCTCCAACTTCAGCGTCGAAGAGGAAGACGAGTACCCCCGAGTGCGGCCGAGGTGGAGCAGGCGGAGCGAGCTGCACCTGTACCTGAAGAGCCAATGGGAGAGCTGCTCGGAGCAGCCCAGCAGGTGCTACCTCCTCTACAGGTGGGCCCACCTAGCAGTGCTGCTGCTCTGCCTCGTCCTGTCCCTCGCCACCTGCCCCGTCCACTACCTCCTCAAGTGCTACATCTACATGACCACTTGGGCGCAGTGCTTCCACCTCTACCAGGCCGCCATCGGCGCCACCATAGTCACCATGGGCTACCGCTCCACCGAGCCCCACAGGACCATCTCCCCGCAGTTGGTATCCTTGTACGGCGCGCACCACGCCACCTCCGTGGCCCTAGCTCTCGGCGTGTCCTTCGTGTATTGGGTCTTCATCTACGAGCGCGGCGCCAACCAGCTGACCCTGGCGAAGATCACCTCCCACGGCATCAACTCGGTGGTGATGATGCTGGACCTGCTGTTGGTGGCGCACCCCGTCTACCTGCTGGACATCGCGTACCCGCTCTGCTTCGGCTCGGTGTACACCATGTTCACGGTGGCCTACCATTACGGCGGGGGCACCAACGCTAAGGGGAACCCCTACGTCTACAAGATCCTGGACTGGAGCCAGCCGATGGACGCGCTGTCCTTCGCAGTCATCGGGATGTGCATCCTCACCTTCATGTTCCTCTTGGTCTGGTTCGTATCGACCATGAGGAACAGCGTTGCTGCCAGGCTCAAGCCCACTTACATTATTGTTCACATTTAGGTACTTGAATACTTTATTTATTTAAAATAAATCGTATAACCTACTTCCACAATTTTGTTTTTGTTCGTTATTTGACTGCATGAATTCAAATATTAAATAGTAATGCTTTATAAAAAATGAATCGATTAGTTTTAATTAATGCTATCTTACTAATGAATACGTTGCACACCATAAACTGATCCTTGTTTCATATTGATTAGTTAGCCAGTTTCTCACTATTATAACTTCATAATTAATATGCAGGGGTAGCTTTTATTAAAATAATATAAATTAATCTCATTTATTGGAAAATTCAATTAATTACCGCCGAATGTCATCAGAATTCGATTATCTAATTCGATGTTTATAACGATTCTTTCATGTGTATATTTTGAAGGTTATGTTTATGGCAAATAATAATTTATTAAAATTATTGCTGTATTGAATAATATAGTTTGTATTATAAGCTTTATTGATGTTTTTTATAATAATGTTACATTCGTTTATTTTTACTGAAATAAATCGAATGGTATGCATAATAACGTTAATTAGATATAATAAAAAAAAATCATGACTAATTCCAAGTCGATATCCCAAGAAAGCGGCTGATTTCAACATCACTTCGAGCGCACTGTAAATGAAGGTTCTTTTCTAGTTTAAGCACAGCAGTGACGCTATCTGTTTCTCTTTTCGTCTCTGTAACACGGCTTTGCGTTAAAATACTATTTTGAATAATAACTCCTTACAAAGATTGTGACATGTTGAAGATATCTCTTGCTTACAGTATGTAGGTCTGATTTTTAGTTTCTGAAATATTTTAATCCATATCTTCAATAAAACCTGTTATCATTTGGTTTTCGATACTATTTTTCCCTTTTCGCCTCTCTAACACGGCGTTGCATTAGCAAACAATTTTTAATAGGTCACTACAAATAGGATGAAATGATGAACATTTCCCTCGCTTAAAGTATGCAAGTAAGATTTTTAGTTTCTAAAATATTTTAGTTCTTATCTTTAATAATACTCATTATCAGTTGGTTTTCTACACTATTTTTCTCTATTCACCTCTCTAACACGGCTTCACGTTAAGATACAGTTTTGAGTAATAGCTCATTGCAAAGAAGATAACATTTTTCCCCTGGCTTACCGGATACAGGTACGATTTTCGATTTCTGAGATACTGGCGTGCTTAAAATAGAAAAGAGCCTAAATTAAATCTCGAAATAATCGGCTTGTATCCTAAAGTTGCCATAGATGACCGTTCCCCAAACCTTTAAGTTGGGTGGAAGTTTAACTTTTGCTATATTCCACCGGTAACATAGGCTATTCGAAATAATCATTTATTCTTCAAGTTCCCTAATGTACAAAAACCATCTGAATTAGATAAAGCATTAGTTGATAAATCCGATGCATCCTGGAATGGAGTTAGGCATAAGGAACTCCTAGGGCCCCTAAAGTAATTGCTTCACCTCGGCGGGAATCGAAAGAAGATTGAAGTGGACTGGGGCAAATAAAACCAACAGGAGCGAGCATAATGCGGTTCCCCGAGACGAGGAGTTGTGTATTCGTCACGACTCAATTTTTATAATTTAATGGTTTCCCATTTCTTACAAAATTGATCAATTTCCTTTCTATATCATTTCTACTATCATTTTGTTGTACACTTTTTTTTTACCATCTTTTGAAAATTGGAAAATAACCTTCACATTCGTAGGGAAAAAAGGTCTATTCGAACTTTTTGCTTTCGATTTTTTTTTTTTATTCAGATGTGTTTGTTATTTTATGGGTTTTGTATTTTATTGACACGTTAAGTATACCCACTACTTTTATTTGGTCATATTTCTTTGCTATACTCACAGTAATTGTATAAAATATATAATAATGGGACTGACGTCACAATATGTCCCAAAACTTTCATGTCTTTAATTAACTACAAAGCCGAATGAAAGAATGTTATATAAGATATATGCCCGTCCTACAAAATTTTAAATGTTAACAGTGGTTTGGATAGGAATAAATTTACATTAAAAAAACTGAATAGAATATCAGTTTCCTATTGTATATTGCGGAGCGAATTTAAAATCCAAAAATATCAAATATAAATACATCATTCCTATTCATATTGGTATGCAGATCGTAGGTTCTAATTTCAGAAAAAGTTAGTTCGGGAGTTTGTCAAAAAATACTATATTATATAATAGTATTTTTATTGCATTGTCCAACGTTTCGACCTGCGTTGTAGGCCATCTTCAGGGCATTCCGTCTGGCACTGCAGAAGACAGTATGGCGACTGGTGAATTCATAATTATACGCAGATGGTTGACCGTAGATTCTAATTTCAGAAGTTAGTCGAGGATACGGTAAAAAAATACTGTTATATAAAATAATATTTTTTGACTACTCCAACTAACTTCTTCTGAAACTATTTTTGTTCGTCAATTACAGTTTTAAAAAACGAATCATAGAACTGTCTTATTGTTGCAGTAAATATTTTCCATTGCGGTTTCGACCGAATAAACATCTTCCTGGCCATTATTCTTTTGCTTATTCACATGACCTCGAGTAGTAAGATAGATTTTATTTTCTTATTCTCGGTTTTCATAGTTATTGCTGATAAATCCATTTGTGGCTATGGCTCACCCACAACAAGATGGCAGGCTGAGTGAGAACTCACGTAGCACAAAATTGAAACTCATATTTTCCTTAACTGTTTTGTATACAAAACATTTACACCTCTTGAATATCATCTTGTAATATGTATGTTTTATTTATTTAAAAAAATCAAATTGGAGAATAAGGAAAAAATAACGTTAGCTTTAACATACAAAGGGATTTATATATTTATTTTTTACATAAGGAAAACCAAGGTTGAGATTTGTATTTTGCATCTCGAAAAAGCCTTAAATACGAATTTTCTCTTTTACTTTGCCCAAAATTTCGACCTTTGACATGGCTCCACTTATACACATGAAAGTTCGGATGAACTTACAGCGTATATAATGTACTTAAAATGGCACAAGCCAGTCACGCGCAAATAAATTAGGCTTGAAGATAACAAATCATAACGTTTGAAGAGTTTTCCATTATTTGTTCCTCATAAAGGCGTAAAATCTAAGTTTTTAATACAGTTTTGAAGGGAAATAATTTATCTTCCCAACGGTTGAAGTAATATTGACTTCAACATCCTCCCATAATTTTTTTAAATTTTATTATTTTAATGAAAGTTATAACTGTATTACATAGAAAATACAATAAGTAAATGTGACATTGGTAACATGACATGTACAACATGAAGAGAAACTACCCATTGGCAGAACTCAAATCCCATAAAATTTGATTAAAAAAAAATATATATATATATATATTTTTTCATTTCATACAACTTCATATTTAAGAGTTAAAAAAAAGTTTCAATGAAATTCGTGACTCTGCATACGTAATTCCTACAACTACTTCTCTTGTTAGATCTATGCTAGTTATCATTTTAAATCTAAAACAAATGATACATTACATAGCGTACTTTTCATTCATTTTTTGTATTTATTTATTAGTAGATAACTTACAATTATAATAGTAATGAAGGTGAAATGTTGGCATTTATGTAACTTTAAATGTTAACCCTTACCAACTTCTTCTAATGAAAGCAATTAATGCTCTTGTTTTGAAATTGCTATTTAGCATTAAAAAATTAACAAATATTTAAAAGCCTATGCTATATTAATTAATTATTTTTAGTGTAGATCGACGTTTGTAGTTTAGCTATAGAACTGCTAAGGTAAGTTATGAACAAACAAGTTGGGATCATTATTTCCACGGAGCTGCGGCCTTCCAATTACATCGCCTAACGAACCTCACCTCAGTTTTTCTCTTCTATAGTTTTCACAGAATTTTCCAGTATTTTTCCCCCCAGGGTTGTTTCAAACGAACAATAATTATACTAAAATATTTGTGAATCCTCCCCAAACCAACCATATCCTTCCTAAAACTCCTCGAATCTCTTCCGATCAAATCTTTTTTTAAATTTTATTGTTATAATTAGTGTTGCCTAAATGCAAGACGAAGTCTAGTCCTTAATCTTGCGCAAGAGTCTCGCATGAGACTTGCAGTTAGTTATCTATTAACTTATTGCTATTTATTAAAAGTGTAATAGAATGTATAGGTACATTTTATTGACATAAACATATTAAAATCCAACTAAATCAATAAAATTAACTTGACAATACATCAAAGGCATTGTCAATAAAGATAGTGATAGACCCCATCTTGGAATGGAATAGTTGTGAACTTGTGAAAGACAATCTTATCAAATATTTACAACTGTAAAAAAAAGAAAAATCATGTTGTAAATTCGCACAATGGATATAATGAAATTAAACACATCTTAAGAAAATACCAATTGGTAGCACTCTAATAACATGTCTACATTAGGAGATCGAAAGGCCATCTTCTTTTCAGAGGCCTCGGAGGGTTATCAGGAATTGAAGAGGAAGCAAGGTTAGAAACAAGAGACGGTTATGAAGTTTATTATGGACGGATAGATATCTGGATTGGGCGAAATCAGAAAAAATAAGGTCATTATGAATGATTTTATTTGTAACTAAGTAAGTATTGAGTATTAAGTATCTAGTAAGTGTTGAAGTTGTCGGAAACGTCGAGCGTTTTCTTGTCGTTTCAGTCTGGTATGAGAATTCCAAGTTAGACGTTTGTCCAGGTGTAGTCTTAAGTAACGGATTTGTTCAACAGGAATAAATGAGGTATTGTTAAAGGAAACTGAATGGGATTTATTGGAATTTATTTTAATTCTCCAGTGTTGACACCATTCTTCAAGGTTTGTGGTGTGTAGTAATAATAATAATAAATACTTTTTTTTCTTTCCATTTTTTTTTTTTTTTCAGGGGACCTCAAATTTGCCAAACGATTTAAAATTACTTGTTTTATAAAGATATCGACTCATATTTTTGCAAAAATATATTCACTTACATATATATTTATTTCAGAACCTTAATTATGAGAGTTGCTTGAAATTATCCTCATGAATAAATAACATTCGAAGATGAATCGTGTGTTTATTTGCGAAACGTCGTCGAGAATTTTAAGACTGCCGTTGAGAAGTTCCT